TGCTCCGAAGATGGAGCCTTGTCCTGAGGCACCCCTCGCGAGGGTACGACGGGGAGAGGGGCTGCTGGGACTCGCCCCCCTCCCCTCTTTCCCGGGCAAGACTGAAGAGCGGGCGGGGCTGCGCGATAAAGCTAAAGAAAGGAGCGAGAGGAGAACGGTCTTCTTCAGAGAGGCCCGGATTTCTCTTAAATACCAGACGTGGCCAGGCTGAAAGCGCACGGAAGTGTTTGTGGTATCGCAGGCGCCGCTGTCTAGCTTAGCACAGTCCTTCACAAATACTGGAGTTAGTTGAATATGTGGGAATTAACCTTTTTTTTTTTAATGTTTACTCAAATAGATCTTGGTCAGTGTTAATCACCTAGCATACAAACCTTTAAAGGAACTGCCTGGTGGAGATGCACGTTTCCAAGGGCCAGGGAAAGAAAGCTTGAGGTTTGCCTTCCTTCTCAGAGCACAAGTGTCCCAAGACTAATTTCTGGGAATGAGAAATGAAAGTTCATGCTAAAAATACTACGTTTAAGGCTGGGAAACAAAAGGAGAAAAAGCTTCCCAACAAAGATCCCAGCGTGAAGCAGTTTCTAAGAGCGGGAGTTGCACTGCAGGTGCACTCCCTGCCTAGATACAGTGAAAGCTGCTATGTTTGGCTAATGGGTGGCATCTCCTTTAATGCTTTTCTCTGTACTGAGAATAAATAAGCAGCAGCTATTTGCACACTGGAAAACCTTGCAATCCTGGCAGTTGATTCCATGGAAGTGGCACAGTGCTGCTTCTTTCTACGCAAGATCCCTGTAAGTGGACAGAGGTGCAGAGGAACGTGGCACTCGAGGCAGCAATGGTTGGGCCTGTGTCATTGCCACCTTCCTCCGCAGGCATGGCTGCCAGCACGGCGTGTGCCGAGGAATTTGGCTGGTGGTTACTTCGCCTGGAGCCGAAGCCCCTCAGTGTGCCTTGGCCAGCAGACAGGCGTACGCAGTGCCCTTCCACTTGGGGAAGGCACGCTTGACACTTACAGCAGCAGCTGTAGATGCTATTCCAGAGACACGGGGACCACGTGAGAGCATGTTCTGGGGTGGTTCACATCTTTGTGTTCCAAGTAATCGATGGTTTAGCCATTCTGCTACCCAGGGTGCTTGAAGCAGTAATGTGCAGGCACAGGGAGAAGAGAAATCGGTGCCACCATGCCTTGGCCAAACTCTGTGGGGCTGAACCGTCCATGGCTGTAAAGCACAAAGTGTTGAGAAGGTCCCATAAGATCCCACACCGTGCATCGTCCCTGCAAAGGAGGGCTCAGAGCTTCTCACAGGAGAGGAGGGCTACCAAGAGTGCCCAAAAGAAGTAAAGGAAAAGAAAATACGAGTGATGTTGTCAGGAAGAGGTAATAAATACGTCTATTCATGGAGAACAATGCAGCAGCAGTGCAATGTTTTATTGAAAAAAAAATAATAATCGTCTCACTTGATACCTCAGAAGACTGCATCGCAACATTGGTGGGCCACACTGTGGGAGAGCTACATCGGGGAGGCCAGCACAGCGCCACGTGCCCCCCGCCGTGTGGGCCCGAGAGCCCTCCCCTTCCTCCCCTGGGGTCTCCCAGCTCGACTTCCGGGAGGAGAGGAGAGTTTGCCCAGGTAGGCTTAATGCCCTGCTTCCTACCACAGCATGGTTGGCTCAGTCTGGCTTGTGTCTCCTGGTCACCTCTGAGCTCCCTGGGGACAGCGGTTTCCTCAAGCACAGGACTTGCTGTTTACCTGCTTTATTTTCTTTTTTTTTTTTTTTTTTTAAAAAGCCACCCCACATCTTCTCCCTTCTGAAGAGTCCAATGTACGATTATAGTGCAAGAGGGCTTGGTACAAGTGAGCATTACCAGCATGCCGTGGGGGGACAGTCCTCCCCTACAAACACATCATCGTAGGATTAAAAGAACATCGTATCTCCAGAGAGAAGCGGTAGTGGGTCACTGTGAAATAGCTTTCAAACCAACCCACTTAAAAACAAGGTCAGGAAAGTTTCTAAACAATCAATTCCCTTTCCTTTAAAAAAAAAAAAAAAACCAAAAACATTTAAGAACAAAAACTGTTGAGATGGCCCCTTTCCCCCCCCCGCCCTCCCTCAACCTGCAAACACTTACATATGCTGCAACTACAAGCTGCTCCTTGACCGGAGGCAGCGAGGAATGACCAAACACGGCAGGAGATGCAGAAGGAATCGAGTTCTGGTGACAGGCACTTAGTGGGGCTTGGGAGGGCAGCAACAGAAGTGTCTCAGGGCCCGGCTCCGTCTGCAGCGGGCAGGACTGCTCCCCGGGGAGCACCTGTGCCCCTTTCTCCCCCTCCCAAGACGCCAAACCATGGTTTCCTACAGCAGAGAGGGGGACGCCTGTGCCAGAGACACCAGGCTTCTGGGAGCCACTGGCAGCAGAGGAGTTTGGAAAGAGAAGGGTGGAACGTGGCCACAGTCCCCATCCTCCCTCTGGCAGGAGGGGACGAGAGAGTGAAGCTCCCCAGCATGCGCCTGCAGGAGGCAAGCAGTCCCCTGCCTGCCCTGGCCCACGGTATGGCTCGAGGAAAGCGCTCTGCAGAACAAGAAGGGGGGTGCATGTGTCTCCTGGTGGGCACGTGAGCCAAGAGCTCCGTGCCTCCAAGACACACTCATCGGGATAAGGCATGGAGAGGACGCAGCGGAGAATGGTGAAGAAACACTCTACAGGGATCCCAGCAAGGAAGCGAGGCTTTTCCGCCCTGGCACCACACCAGCGTCCGCCTGCTTTAGGGATGCACAAAGAGCAAGTCCAGAAGCTCCCTGCCCAGGATGATCTCCTGCCCTCTAAGCCCGCTTCTGCCCAGCCAGGGGAACCGAACCTCCCGGGAGTGCCGCTCCACAAACTCCAAGCTACGCAGATCATCATTAAAAAAAATAAAAGGTAATGAGATCTAGTCTCTCCCTTTCCTCCCTTCATGCTCTCTGGGATTTTTGGGGTGAGCCAGGCCCGAGTTTATGACAAGCGAAGTCCCTCAAGTGAACAGTCCCAGCCTGGTCAGGTGTCACACGTGGAAAGACAAAGTACAAGGAACCTATTCACAACCTCCCCAAAAGCTGCTGAGTTCTCCCACAGCCCTGCCACGTCTACGGTAACCCCCGGGCAGCCTCGGCCTCCCCCGGGTTTGAAAACACTGCAGCAGGATGCAAGATTTTTTTTTTTTTTTTTTTTTTTTTTTTTTTTTTTTACACATGTGCAAAGCGCCCCAAGCCCTTTGCTAGCTATTGGTTTGGCTCAAAAGTGGTGCATGAGAACCGTGGCTTCTCCTGTGGGGTAGGATGGCGTCCCACATGCCCCAGACCCACGCTCGCAGAGAGGACGTGAAGGCTATTCCAGTCAAACCTATCTGACCATCTGGAGATGAAATCAGTGTTAAGGCAGTGAAGTATTCTCTCCCCTGCCGGGGAAGCTTTGCTCCTGCTAACGTATTCTCGCAGAAGGTACGTGTTCACAACCACCCTACTGGAGGGATTTGAGAAGGCTGCCCGGTTGCCCACACTGAGAAACGCCTACGCTTTGGGAAAGGGCTGCCCTCCCAGTTACCTTAATCCAGATCAACCTTTTAAGCCAGCGCAAACTCCTCCAGCCCAGCAAAGCTGACGCCACTCCCTCCTGCCAATGCCGGGCTACGGCCTTACGTCTCCCGG